CTGTGTAAAAGTAGAAGCATTTTTAAATTACTTCTGGGATATTTCTATCCTGAGGAAACAGCTGGTCATACTCTCCATTTAACTACATATTCCCACGCCATCTTTGGAAAAACTAAATACTGTAATTTACTTCAACCATATTGTATTAACATTTATTATTCAAAGAACAAGAACAAATAACAACTAAATGTTCATTATTCTTTAAGAAACCCTATGTTCCTTAAGATATATAGGTGGGGATCTATTTGTGTGTTTTGCTTTGTTTACCAATCTTTGTCAATCTCCAATGACTGGATATATTTGTTCTGTCAGAGTAAACTCACATTATTCATTGTATTTTATTTTTTTAAGATTCTATTTATTTATTTGTTGGGGTGGGGGACACAGGCAGGGGGAGCAGGAGACAGAAGGAGAAGTGGAGAGTCTGATGTAGGACGTGATCCCAGGACCCGAGCCGAAGGGAGATGCTTAACCGACTGAACCACCCAGGCATCTCTTCATTTTACTTTAGAATTAAATATTTCAGGGGGCACTTGGGTGGCTCAGTTGGTTAAGCATCCGACCCTTGATTTTGGCTCAGGTCATGATCTCAGGGTTGTGAGATCAATCCCTTCGTAGGGCTCTGTGCTGGGTGAGGAGCCTGCTTAGGATAAAGAATTAAATATTTTATTTCATTTAGAGAACACCACTTACCTCATCCCCAATAAAAAGAAATAACCATTTATTTTCCTTTCTTCAAAACAAATGATTTTATATAATGTGAAATTTAGCAAATGCTCACATTGAGAAGCACAATAGTATTCTTTTTTAAAGATTTTATTTATTTATTTGAGAGAGACAGAGAGAAAGAGCACAAGTAAGAGAGAGGGTCAGGGGGAGAGGGAGAAGCAGACTCCCTGCTGAACAGGGAGCTGAGGACCTCAGGATCATGATCTGAGCCGAAGGCTGACACCTAATGACTGAGCCACCCAAGCGCCCCAGAGAAGCACAGTAAAATCCTTAATTAACTAGTCTGTTTCCTTCACCAGGCTGTATCATCAGAAATATAAAGAATTAAAATGGCCTAATTTTAAAAACAGTAACTGAAAAGAAGAGAATACTTCTGCTGCCAAGTACAAATGGCATTTGCCACCTTCTCCCAAAACAACTTAGAGTATTTAGGTTATCAAATTAAATCTGTCCAAAAATGCACACGCATCAACTGATGGAGATCCTAAAGTTTTGGGCTGCTTGGTTCTCAACATCTTGCCATCTGGGTCCTATTTCCACTGTACCGCTGAAACTGAGTTTGACAAAGTCATCAACAGCCTCTTGAACACTAATATCTTCTTGAAATGAACTTTTTCTTTGGTGTATCTCTGGATTCTCTCCTAGGCCCTCCATCTATATATTCTCCTTGGGTGAGTCCATATATTCATTTCATATATTCCATGACTTCAGTCATGTTTATGTTTTGAACCATATGTTTATAGTCCAGATACCGTGCTGAGCATCAGACCTTTATACTCAATTTCATGTTAGGTATCTCCATTTGGATATCTGAACAAAATCTCATACCCAGCATTCCCAAAACTGAACTCATATTCCCACCCACCACAGACTGCATTTTCATCTGTTATCTGAATTTCAATGAATGCCATCCATCAATCTTAACCTTCACAGTCTTCATGACTGCCTCTTTCTCTTATCCCCAACACCACAATCAATTACCAAGTCCTCATGATTCAGTCTTTTATATACTTTTAAAATTATCCATGATATATGCTACCTCTATTGTTTAGACCATGGTCATCTCTTGCTTGGATTATTACAAAAGAATCCCAAATGGACTTTCTGTATTCAATTTTATTTTTCTCCAACTCATTTTTAATACTAAACTAAAATTATAGTATGGCTATATCATTTTCCTCCTTCTGTCTTATATTCCTACCATCCAGCTCTTTGGCAAGGTGTATAATAGGAATTCATTAGTATGCGATTGAAAAAAGAAAGGAAAAGAAGGAAAAATAACAATTGGGGAAGTCATATTGGTTGTTTTTCTTTTGTTTTGTTTTGTCAAGACAAGCTATGTTCTTTCATCTTTAAAGTCTCAAGAAAAGAAAACAATTGTTTCTGAAATGAGTAGATACGAAGGTGGGCAAAGACAAACTCTGTATATGAGTCACTCAACAGTAGGGAGGGAAATAAGAAGGCGGGATTGTAAAGAAAGGGAAAACAGATTTTCCACTCCTCCACACTTGCCCTTTCCCTATGCCTACAGATACCATTACCCTGAATGGTACTGCACCCTTCAAGCCTGGACAGAAAACCATTTTACTCCAAAAAACCTTTATGATAATGAAAATAAACAAACCAACAACCTGAAACCTTAACTAAACCAATAATTCCTACCGAAAAAAACTGCTGCTCTAAACCTTTTCTTTATTTCTTTATTTTTAAAGTTTAATTGGTCTAAATTGTGGCATTTCAACTGCAAGGAAGGTGCCCAGTCCTAGGTTTTAGCACTCAAATAAATCAAGAAACGTTCAAAGAAATTGAGATGAAGCTGGTGAGTTGAGTGAGTTCACCTGACCAAGTTGATCTACTACCTGAAGCCTAACATCACCTCCACAGAGGGCTGGTCGAACAGGGTGTGCAGAGTAATACCACAGCAGGCTGCAATGCTAAGTTCCCATGAGTGGTGAAACATCATTTGCTATTTTTTTTTAAACATGGCAGACATGAAGGAAGGAAGGAAGGAAGGAAGGAAGGAAGGCAGGCAGGCAGGCAGACAGCAATCTGAGATTTGATTGCAAACAATGTCCACTGTCTTTTAATGTCTTATGTTTCCTGTTGCATTTTTTGTCCCAGGGCAGGAGGACCAGATGTGCAGTGATTCACAAGCAATGTGAGGTGACAGTTCCTCCTTGTCTGGAAATACTAAACACATTTCAAAGACACATTTTCAATTGTGCTGAACCCATCTGAAACCACCCTTTTAAAAAATGACATCTTTTCTTCTTATTAAAATTTTTTTCGCCTTAGACTCAATGTACCTCAAACTGAGCTCTCTGGGTATTTGAAACTGAAAGTATTTTTTGAAAGCAATTCTGCAATTAATGAAAGAAAAGAATGATTTCAAATCTGGAAAAGTCAACCCAAATTACTACAATATTTTATATCCCTTTAAGTTCTTAGTTTTCTCTACTGTGTCTCTCCACGCATATTTCAGGATGCTTTTTCAGATGAGCACTAAGTACCCTTTTTAAAAAATTACTTTCATTTTTCTGACTATATACTCCATGGAGAACATTAAAGAAATACTCAAATAAAAATGATTCATTTTCCCATTAGTTAGAAATAACTTCATTCTTATATATTTTCTTCACAGGTTTTAATATAGCTGAAGTCATAAAGCTCTTACATAATTTTCACCCTTATTGTTTTGCCCTTATGGTAATTTATATACCATAAAAATATTTTCAAAAACATTACTTTTATTATTAAGTTATGTTGGATTTTTAGGTAGTTTTAAATTTTTTTCAGGATTATAAATTTTATAATCATGTATTTCTGTACATTTCCAGGGCACAGTGTCACAGATAAGAAATTACTGTATCAAAGAATATATATTATGTATATTTTGAGGTGTTTGATTCCTCTTTTGAAATAACCTTTTAAAAGATGGCAGAATTTACTTTCTCATGTGCAATATTTAAGGATAATTGCTCTCACTACAATTTTAAGGGCATGGGCATTATTTGTTTTACCTTTCAAATCTGATGAACAAAATGGAATATCCTGATTATTCTACTTGGTAGTTTTGATGACCAGGATTGTTGAAATTTTATATTCATATTTCTCAATATCCACCAACTTGCATATGCACAAGGGTGTGTCCCTTATATGGTAATTTTATTTATCTTTCTGGGTCTGTCCCTAGGGTTTATATTTCTATGAATGTAATCACGATGTCTGATTTGGTTAAGAACTCCACCCTGGGTTTGAACTTAGGCTCAGATGTTCTAGAAAAATGCTTCACCAAGAATCAGATTTCCCAACACCACTCAATAGAACCAGATCTATTTAGGCTTCTCTGATCTCAGATAAGAGTAGCATTAATTCTGAATGTGTTCTAAAAAGCTATCCTTGTGTTATATAAAACCACTGAAAGGGGCAGCCTGAGTTTATGAAGTAATTATTCCCCAAGGAGGTGGCAGCCAATGCCGAGCAGGAGGATGAGATCACTCTTATTTACTATCTGGCCTTTTGGATCAGCTCACTCTGTTCCTTTAAGGGGCAATAGAATAATGAACTGGAGCATCCTGAAAGACTTCATTTTATAACCATATGTCCTTGTGTTTATTACTAAGTATGAGATCAGAAGGCCATATGGACTGACTTGGGGATGGTATTTTAAGGAATTATTAAAATGATTCATAGTAAGTGCAATGGATAAACAGAGAGATGAAAACTGGGATCATTAATAATCTGACAATGTTTTAGACAGGGCTACAGTTGACAGTACACATTGAAGAAGCAAAAAGTGTCTTAAAATCCCAAGAGACATGATATCAGCAAATAAACAAATGACAATGAGAAAAGATCCATGGCTTTCAGCAGATTCCCCGGAAGAACACAGTTGTCCTAATTCAATACCATTAGACTAGAAAGAATAATTATTAGCATTGCCACCTCATCCCAGTGCTAGCCTAAAACCTCTACCCTACACTTGTAACACCTCATAAGCCAGGGTTGACAATGTCTAACCCTTTTCCAGCTGCAGGAACACTGCTGGACCCTCCCCCCCAGAAAAGATTCTCACATTCCACCCACCCCCAACACAGCAGCAAGAGATTAAAACACAACAGACAATCTTTTCAACAACACTTCGGAGCTGTATTCTGGACTGTTCTCTGACCTCCATCCTGACCGACCAAACCATTCTCAATGGTAAATTGATAGTAAATGGTAAATACTCAATTATTTATTTATTTATTATTATTTTTTCGTCACATCAACAGTTCTTTATTTGACAAGTAAGGGCCTTTTCATAGCAGTCGAGGAAGAGGCAGCTTCCTAGTTACACACATATGAAAAAAAAATCCCAGCAGGATTAAGAAGAATAATGAAAAAGTACCTACAGATCTTTCCTGTCTGCAGGTCATAGTCAAAGGCATCCACGGATTAGGACAGGCTGTCAATGTAATAGAAGATTTTGTGGTCCAGGGACCAATGCAAACCAGTGGAGATGTCCACCTGGTCAAAATACTTTTCCACGTGGTGGTCAGGAAAGAGGGAGTACAGGGACCCCTGGTGCCGCTCCAGAACCGCGGGGGCTGTCTCCTCGGCCATGGTGCCAGCAAAGTAACTCCCAGCGGGATCCACCTTCCCATCATTGAACCGATTGTTTTTCTTGTCTTTATCTACTGTGGCCAGGGCTACTGCTGACTGATCTTCCCAGTTCAAAGCACAGAACTTTGTTCCAATGGTGGCAACATAGCCTCCTCCCTGGCAAAGGGCCACAGAGCTGACGGGGGCATCCACAGTCACTTGCTGCACGCGCTTGCTGAGCGAATCCCAACGGCAAACCTTTTTTGCAGGAATATCTACAAAGAGCAGCGAGTTGGACGCCTTCTCCCACACCGGAGACTCCCCACACCAGCAGTTCTCCCGCAAAACACACTCGGTCTTAATGGAAGACATTGTCAACGGGGAGCTCTCTTGGTGTCGGTGACCCTCGGAGAGCCGGCGTCATCATTTATTTTTATCACATAATACCTTCTATTAATTAGTATATACAATGCACTAAGCAATATGATAAGCATTTTTCAAAAAAGTATAAATATATCCTTATAACTCATAAAGTAGATTCTAACAATTATTATTACTAGCTATCATTTATTGCATGCCTACTTTTTCCAGACAGTGAATTGAATGTGTTATAATAATACTTATAATTTTCTAAATAACTCTACATGATAGATATTAAAGTCATTTCATAAATAATGAAATTGAGATTCAAAGAGGTTAATTAAATTATATGTAAAGTACTTACTACAATGGTTGATGCCTAGAAAATGCCCAATAATATATTGCACCTACTTTATTAACATTATATATTTTATTATTGATATTAATTTTTATGTCTTAGGACATGTTTCCTTCCCTTGGAAGGTATATCATATACAAAAAAAATGATTGTATCTGTGTGCTCATCTTATTAATAATGCTAATATTATTAATGTTAATAATATATTTTTTTAAATTTTATTATGTTGTTAATCCCCATACATTACATCATTAGTTTGTGATGTAGTGTTCCATGATTCATTGTTTGCGTATAACACCCAGGGCTCCATTCAGTATGTGCCCGCCTTAATACCCATCACCAGGCCAACCCACCCCCCCACCGCCCTCCCCTCTAGAACCCTCAGTTTGTTTCCCAGAGTCCATAGTCTCCCATGGTTCATCTCCCCCTCCGATTTCCCCCCCTTCATTTTTCCCTTCCTGATATCTTCTTTTTTTATAATATTAAATAATATCTTTAATAAATGATAGTAATAATACCAATACTATTACTATGTATTTGTAATATATTACATAGTACATTAATAATATGTACTATATTAATACTATATGGTATACTGAAAATACTACCACTGTTAACATTAGAAACTATAATAATATTAATACTATTAATAAAACAGCTTAGCTTTATTGAGCACCTACAGTGTGCCAAACAGTGAGCTAAGGCCTTGTTACGATGTACCTTAGTTTAACCTTAAAAAATTCTGTACAACAAATTCTTCTGTTACTCCTTGACTTTCAGATGAAGAAATCAAGGGTAAGAAAGATGAATTAAGTTGTCCAAAGTTGCACAACTTGTATAATGAGGACCAGAATCTGAGTTTAGTCTAATCTAACTTAAAAGCTCTAGTTCTTAATCACTGTGCATTTGAGAATTAAAAAGCATTTATAAATAATTTTGTATTTAAATCCTTATTCTACATATGAATAAATGATGAAGGAAATAAATTGCCCATGATCACACAGCATTTATTGGCCTAGCTGAAACTTGGTACTAATAGTCTTATTGTTTGCTTATTATGCACAGCCACTGTGCAAACATTATCTTATTTAAAACCCCAAAATTCATGTAAGTTAGGTTCCTGTATAATCCCCTTTTTACCTTAAAGGAAACTGAAATTCAGAGAGGTTAAGCTACTTGTCCAAGTCCAAGGCCACAAGAGAAGCTGGGGTCTGGACACAGGTAGCCAGGATCCTGATCCTTTGCCTTTAACCACTATTACCTTCCTGGGTCAGCCATCTCTAAATGCAGCCCCACCCTTTCCAAGTCATCATGATGGTTTCTATTTCCTCCCCAGGACTAATATTGTGTGTGCAGAAGCCCCATCAGACCAACTTACAAGAGCCAATTGTTAAATTTTCAGGATTTTTGTGAGCTAGCGGTCAAACATAGTCATTATTAAAGGTAAAACATAGTCCAGTTAAATAAATTATCCTAAAAATAATACCTTTATTTTGTAGTTTTGTGATCCAGTTTATTTGTAATACTATTTATATTAATAATAAAATTTTAAAAATCTAATGATACCAAAAATATTACTACTATTAATACTATATACTTACTATGCTATATTATATCACTACATTTCCAACTTCTGATTATTTTACTACATTTTACTATCACCTAGGCTCTTGAGATTATGTGTGTCCATTCTACCTGCATGTGGGAATATTATATAATGGTATGCTACCAAACATCTTTTTTTTTTAAGATATTATTTATTTTATTTATTTATTTGACAGAGAGAGACACAGCGAGAGAGGGAACACAAGCAGGGGGAGTGGGAGAGGGAGAAGCAGGCTCCCCGCGGAGCAGGGAGCCCAATGTGGGGCTCAACCTCAGGACCCTGGGATCGTGACCGCAGCCGAAGGCAGATGCTTAACGACTGAGCCACCCAGGCACCCCGCTACCAAACATCTTTTTCCAACTCTGCCTTTAGTGATTTCATGTAGGTGGCTTGAAACTAGCCACGGTCAGACTATTTACATCACAGAAATGGGCAAACGCTTCAAATAGGTGTATTTATTTCCCCCACATAGCCGATCATTAGAAGTTTACCAGTAGCACTGCCAGAGGTCATGAGTATTAAAAGCCACCAAAAATGTTTCCTAAGTAATTTAGGTTACATGAAGAAATCCCAAATTTATGTTACACTCATTCAAAAGGTATAATATGGAATTAACTGGATTAAGAGAAATTAATTAATTGTCTTGGCGGTACTAGTGATATACCCTGCAAGTACAGACACTTCAAAGTGACAGTTTCTAGAGAATTTTAGAGATATTCAAGCTAAGAGGCTTATACATATCCCCATGAAATAAGTCTCTCTACCTCTCTATCTCATCATGTAAGTAACTTAATATGAGACAAAGGGTGGAAGGAAGACAATATTCTAAATTTATATAATATACTACATTGTGGACCATCTGATCAATGCTTAGTTTCCAGTGGCAGACCCCACCTTGAAGAGGGACAAAATATAGTGAAAGAGAATGCTCAGCCCACAGGCCCGAGGAAAAATCCAGTCAAATGTGAGAGTTGCATTACCTAAGAGGTGCAAACCAGTGCATATGATCCCAGACTGCCTGGCTTAGTAGCGTGATGCTTGGCAATTTTGCTTCATGGGTCACCGGATCAACCTGGCTTCGGCCCATGAGTAGATGAAAGCTATTGGCAGCAGCAGATGATTTAATGCTCTGAGTGAGACGAAGCAGTCAGCTCAGCTCAGGTCTGCTCCGACTCTGTTTCTTCCCATAGCAGTAGGCAGTCATTAGCACCCTTGTTGACAGTTTTTGCAGGAAGGCCAAATCATAGTACGCCCGGAGACTAAAATCACATCTCACCCTGGTGGTCCCTCCAGCACAGAGCTGGAGAGGTGAGAAATCTTGTTCTGCCATTTGGTCTCATTAGAGATCTTTAATTTCCAGTAATATGCTTCTTTCTCAAGGACCCTGGAGTCAAGAGTTCAAAGGAACACTAGAAGGAAACAAAAAATATTTGTAAAGTCTCTTTGCTCGGTCATTTTTCTTTCGCAACATTTCTAAGGACACAGTCTTAAGTCAAATTCTTTTGGGGACATTTTCAGTAGAGGAAAATTTTGAACAGCTGAGTTCTGTTTGAATTTGTAGGATTTATTTTGAAATCATGAAGTTGGAAAGACAATAAATTACAGTGTGGAATTTTAGAAGACCTCATAATGGTAGAAAACTAGAGCTGAGCAAAGTGACCTCTCCCTGCTATTTTAAATATTTAGATCTCTGGAGAAAAGACCAGGTGGTGTCACAGAATCAGAAACTGGAAACTGCAGAGGACAACAGTGCAAGGGGCTAGGAGGCATGCATCTTAGTCCCAACTCTGCCACTTACAAGCATTATGAGCTTCAGAAAAATAGCCAAGATGAGCTAGATGGACTTCCATCTCTGACATCCCATGGTGCAGATTTTTCTTAAGCAGATAAAATATTTCTATACAAATTTTACCAGTGCAGTATCTACATGGGTTAATATATGTAAAGCACTTGGCACGAGGTCTGGAATATAATAAGTGCTATGTAATTTTTTTGTTTTCATATTATTTTTGTTATTATTATTATTATTATTTTATTATTATTAAAAATGCTAAAGTACCCAAAACACATTATAAAGGAGTTTTAAGAAACTAAAACTTCAGCCCTGGTCTGGACACTTTTTTCCATTAAAATATAAAAGATTGAAACGTCATACCTAATAGGTGATCATTTTCCAAACTGTGGTTCATGGGGAACGATAATCTTTCAAGATACTTCTCTGTTAAATCATTCCTTATATGAAAAGAAAATTGGGTAGATGCTGCCTTCATCTTCTTCTTAGAAAGTAGTCCTGCATATTAGCTTATTAAGGACTCAAAGCGTTCTTGAGGAAAGAAATCTATTCAAATTGGCATAATTTAGCATTCCCAAACTTATTTGATGATAAAACCTCATTAGTGCATAATATTTACATAGCTCTCCCACTGAACCACACAGACCTTTTCCAACAGTAGAGGAATTGAGTCTTGGTCTCAGCATTTGAATATTCCCACCACCTTAGACAGGCACTTAGTAGGTGCCAGAAGCTGTGCTAAGGTATTTATAGTAATGATCTCAATTAATCCTTAAAACTCTGGAGGTCAGTGGTTTCATGACGTCTTTGCCTATAAGCAAGGGGAAGCTCAGAGGTGTTTAGTATCTCATATAAGATTATAAACCAGGATAGAACTATCAGTTTTCAGGACCTCTAAGACATTCTGAATGACTGCAAGTAAGTGAAAGAATGAGCAAATGCTTCCTGACTTGGGCGGGAGTGAGGGCTGAGCTTGGACTTTGTGTTCACTGAGGGAACTTTGAGCCTCCCAAATGATCCCAGAAGGTGGAGCTAAGGAATTGAGACAAGGGAGGGGAAGCAGAGCTACAGAACCCCTTAGTCACAGCCGGAACCAGTTAGGGAGGGAGGGAGTTCTCCGTTTGCAGAGTATATATATTTAGAAACTGGAGATACCATCACTTTCCTACATTTCTTCCTGTCTTCACATATGTGTTCTATGTGTTTGCCCACAGAAGTAGAGATTCCACTAGCTCTTAGCCAAAAGGCACTATATTATATTTAACTAATGGGACACTTGCT